ATGCAGCTTTCCTCCCAATCTTCCTGCCTCAGCTTCCTGACTGGCTGGGGCTACAGGCTCATGCTGCTGCAGCTAACTTAAAATTCACTATCAATAGCTTACTTAAGGAGCCTTTTAGTAGTGAGACATTAGCACTGCTAGCTTCTTTATTTTATATGTTTTGAAGGCCGTGATCACATGATTGATTGTCAACCCCATTTTAAACCTTCATTATTTTTTTTTGGCCAGTGCTGAGTTTGAACCCACAACCTCCGGCATATGGGGCTACTCTTTTTTTTTGAGCCACAGGTGCCGCCCTAAACCTTCATTTTAAGTAGCAATATCATATTGTTTTTACTGAACATGACTAGCTGGGTATTTTGGCGGGTGCCTATAGTCACTGCCACTTGGGAGGCTGAGGCATGAGAATGAATTTAAGCCCAGGAGATTGAGGTAGTTACTATGAGCTAAGCTGGCGTCACAGCACTCTACCCAGGATGACAGAGTCAGACTCCGTATCCAGAAAAAAAAAGTAATGTAAAAGAATTTAAAATTACTAATAAAAATATTTGAAATACAAATTTATGTTTGTTCTATAGCCTCAATCTGAGTGCCATGAGGCATGTAGCTAAAACTTTACAATCTTTTTTTAGTGATTTTTAAAGTAATACAGATCTCAGGCTAGTACTTAACTAATTTTAAGGAGACAGCCATAATGTTTAGGAATGTTTTTATTTAATATTGAAAGATAAAAATATGTAGCCACATACCATTGGAGAAACAGTTGTTCTTCCTAATAGAGTAAAAATGGTGTGATGATATGCAGAAAATTATGTTAAACCAAATGCATTTCTTGTCAGCATATCTCTGATTTAAGACACACATAAAACATAGCTAACAATTTGTAGGAATGGCACGATGGGAATGTTTGATTTGAAACTAGTGATATTGGTTATAAATTTTAGATGATTACATTTTGTAAAATTGGTTTCAATTATACAATCCACGAAGACCTGATTTTTCTATCAAACACCAAAGAAATATGTTCCAGAGAAGATAAAAACATAATATTATATGGGAACTGAAAACATTACCTCTAACTGAGTAGTTACTTTGATTGTAATTTACAAGGGATTTAGGGAGGAAAGTGATGCATGTCAAATTTATTTGTTCATTTATTCAAAGTAAAGTAATCACAGTAACAAAGTTGAAAGAAGAAGTGCAGAGTAACACAGGATGTTATTAATTTTCTAAAAATATTTTGATTATAATAGATAGAGCAAATTTGTGATGAGGAAAGTGACCCTGACCCTATTTTACACTATCAAGAAGTTACTGTTTATCTTGTGGCATAGTTTTGTTTGGTTTGTTTTTGTTTTTATTTTTTGTTTATTTATTATTTGAGGCAGAGTCCCTCTGTTGTCCTGGTTAGAGTGCTATGATGTCATAGTTCACAGCAACCTCAAACTACCTAGGCTTATAGTGAATCCCCCACCTTAGTCTCGTGAGTAGCTGGGACTACAGTCTCCTGCACCATACCCCAATAATTTTTTTTATTTTTAGAAGAGACAGGGTCTTAGGCTTGCTAGGCTGGTCTCGAATTCCTGAGCACACACATTCCTCCAGCTTCAGCCACCCAGGGTGCTAGGATTATAGGCTTGAGTCACCATTCCTGATCATGGCTTTGTTTTTTTAAAAGCTATCAAACCTAAAGATATTTTTCGGTTTTATTTTACACTCCTATGCTTTCTTCTGCAAAACTAAAGATATTCTGTGTGACTACCTGTAGATAATTAAAAAATAAAACAAAAATCAATAGTTTTTAAAAATTGATTGAAATTAATTGAGGGTACAAAGAATTAGGTTACAGTGTTGGCATTTGTTAGGTGAAGTCCCTCTTATAATAGTGTCCCACCTTTTAATCTGTCCCTTTGCAGCAAAACTGTTTTCTTTTTCTAATATTGGGAGGGATCTTGAAAAAAAATTGTGTATGGATAGAACACTTTGAAAATAAATGTGAGCTTTGTAGGGTTGAAGATATATTTCTGTTCCCTACTAATCCCAAGCTGCAGTGGCACATGATGGGCACTTGATAAATGTTTGAAATTTTTGCAAAATTATTTAAATACATTGCAAAAAATCTAATGTGTGACCTTACACCATATACAAAAGTAACTAAAAATAGATCAGCAACATTAATATGAGAGCTTAAAATGGTAAAATTCTTAGAAGAAAACAGAGGCAAATCTTCATGACCTTGGACTTGACAGTAGATTCTTAAATATGACCAAAAGCATGAACAACAAAAGGATGGATTAAAAAGTATTGTAGCGTTATTCATAATAATTGAAAAGGTAAAAACTCATGTCCACAACAGATGAATGAACAAAAAATGTGTGTGTGTGTGTGTGGGGGGGAGTGTAATTAAATACTGTTCAGGCATAAAAAGGATAGAAGTTCAGCTGTAACATAGATTAACCTTGAAGATACTATGTTAAGTGAAATGACCAGATACAAAAGGACAAATACTGTGTGATTCCACTCAAAATATCTAAAATAGGCAAATCCACAGAAATAGATTGGACATTACCAGGAGCTGGAGTGCGGAGGGAAGGGGTACTCATTCCTTAATGATTGTAAAATTTCTATTTGAGGAAAAGTTTGGAAATTGTGGTGTTGAGTGTACAACATTGTGAATGTAATTAATACCACTAAATTACACACTTAAAAATAGTTACAATGGTGAAACTTTTTGTTATTTATCTTATACCACAGTAAAAGTTTGAAAAAAAACACTAACCCTCCCCCCACCAAAAAAGAAAAAACCTATGCTTGTACACAATCTTGAAGTAGAATTTTCCGGTGTGTTTATTACAAAAGAAGTGATTCATTAGATTTATGGGAATATAAATCTTTGTCCCTCTGTATCCACTAGTTCCACATCTGCAGATTGAATTAACCATGGATCGAGGTTATTTGAAAATAAAATAAATACAATACAAAATAATACCAATAAACACAGAATAACAACTCTATACATAACACTTACATTGTACTAGGTATTTTGAGTAACCTAGAGATGACTTAAAGTAAAAGAGAAGAGGTTCAAAGAGATGTGCAAGTGCTCATTTGCTTGAGCATTTATAGATTTTGGTGCCCTTGGCGGGGCATGTCCTAGAACCAATCCTCAATGCATATTGAGAAAAAGACTGTGTCAGGCGCACTGAATTGCAGATCTTAATGAGGCTGCAAGAACAATTGGTGGAACAATTGGGGAGGGACATTAGCTATGTAAATTTCAGCAGAAACTTTTGCATGGTTGGTAGAAAGTATTCAGGTTTTAGTATCAGTGCA